ATGTCTGTAATAGTCAAATGGATTAGTCAACCAGTACATTTGTAAAACAGAATAATAAAACTATAAAATGAATAATGCAATGATACACATGAAGATAGGTAGTTGCAAAAATTAATTTTGGGTGAAGGAAAGAAGTTAAAAAAGATTACGCATAGTGTGACTCGATTTCTATAAAGTTCAAATCCAGGAGATGCTAAACAGTATATTTTTAGGAATACATGACCATGTGGCAAAACCATGAAGGAAAGGTAGAATTGTATGTATTTCTGTTCATTGAGAAAGTAGGATTGAACAATATAAAAAATAAGTTTTATAAATCATAGTTCAGTGAATTCCAGACATAATTAGAGCATAATTATGCAGATTCACAGATTTGAACAGACTCCATCTTATAGTAGCGGTGGGTAATGAGTGACAAGAAGGAGTGACATATCTAGATTATCGACTGGGTAGATGGTGTCTTTCCCTTTAGCCATCATAACATGCACAAAAGGAACATGAGTTTTAGTGGTGAAGTTAATATATGGTCAGTTTTTTTTATATTTGAGGTGCTTATGAGAAAGCCACCTATCTATGCATTGGAAACAGTTTAATACCTTATTTTAGAGCAAGGTGGAATGATATGGTCTAGAAATATTAATTTGGATAATAGACACCTAAAGTAAATGCCACGAGTATGCAAATTTGCCAACACAAAAAGAAGCAGGTTGTCAGTAGAAGTGACAAAGAATTAGGAAATGCTTTGTGAGACTGGTTTTTTTTTAATGTGAATTCTTTTACAACTTATTGAATTTGAACATGGCTAAAATTATTCTGACTTTCATAGTTAGAGGTAATTCATTTTTTGTCAGTAACCCTCACAAGTTTTGTTCCAGCTTTTTGTACCGATCTTCCCTGTGTCTATTATCTCTTCTTAAACCATCTTGGCTGACAGTTTTGAAGTTTAGATATAACATTGTTAGGAAATCATTTTTAAAATTTTACCTTATTCTTTCAAAATGACCCCCTAACACTGATAGCTCCCAGACCGTAGTATAGTATTTCTAAAGGAGCTATAAAGTTCATGTTCTTACAGATTTTTAAATCCTTCAGAAAGAATGGAAGAAGGAAGGATTACCAAGAAAAAATTCAAATCAGGGATATGTCTTACTTGTGTGATGCCTGGATGTGTTTTTTTTTTTTAATTTAAATTCAATTAGCCAGCATAAAGTAGTACATCATTAGTTTCAGATGTACAGTTCAGTTACTCATCTGTTGCATATAACCCCCAGTGCCTGTCACATCACATGCCCTCCTTAATGCCCATCACCCCGTTATCCCATCCCCCATCCACCTCCTATCCAGCAACATTCAGGTTTTTTTTTTTCCTATAGTTAAGAGTCTCTCATGATTTGTTTCCCTCTCTGATTTCCTCCCATTCAGTTTTCCTTCCCTTGCCCTATGGTACTCTGCTCTGTCTCTTATATTACACATATATTGTGGATAATTGTCTTTCTCTGACTGACTTATTTCACTCAGCATAATACCCTCCAGTTCCATCCAAGTCAGTGTGTAAGAGTTCATCCTTTTTGATAGCTGAGTAATATTCCATTGTACAAATACCACATCTTTTTTTTTTTTAAGATTTTATTTATTTGACAGAGAGAGATCACAAGTAGGCAGAGAGGCAAGCAGAGAGAGAGAGGGAGGAGGAAGCAGGCTCCCTGCCTAGCAGAGAGCCCGATGCGGGACTCGATCCCAGGACCCTGAGATCATGACCCGAGCTGAAGGCAGAGGCTTAACCCACTGAGCCACCCAGGCAGCCCCAATACCACATCTTCTTCATCCATTCATCCATCAATGGACATCTGGGCTCTTTCCATAGTTTGGCTATTGTGAACATTGCTGCTATAAACATTGGGGTGCAGGTGCCTCTTTGGATCATAGTATTTGTATCTTTGTCGTAAATCTCTCATAGTGCAATTGCTGGATTATATGGTAGCCCTATTTTTAACTTCTTGTGGAACCCCCCATACTGTATATTGTTTTTTAAGTAACAAAGTCATGGTTCTGTTATGAAAATGCCCTATCAACACTCAAACGAGAGTATGTCTGTGTAAACGGAGGAATTATAACGGAGTACTTTTTTGAAGATTTTATTTATTTAACAGAGATCACAAGTAGGCAGAGAGAGAGAGAAGGAAGCAGGCTCCCCTCTGAGCAGAGAGTCCAATGCGGGGCTCGATCCCAGGACGCTGAGATCATGACCCAAACAGACAGCAGAGGCTTAACCCACTGAGCCACCCAGGCACCTCAGATAACTGAGTATTTTTTTATTCAATTAATACCTCTTGTAAACCTACTTGATATGAACTGGAAAATTGAAGGGCCCAAGAAAAATGACTATCCTTTGAAATGTTTCTCAAAAAAATAGGTTTTCTCTCAATTTATTGAGGTTTTAAACATATGTGTTTTTTTTTCCTTTGGAAAATTAGTTTTCAAAAACAGTTAATCTTTGTCTATAGAACTTACTCTTCTGTAAATATGGAAAATTGAAAGGTTATATTTCTAATAGAAGTGATCTGTCATCTTATTTCTTATTTTCATGCATCACCATTATTGGTAAAGTTACTGAAATCAGCTATGATGCTTTCTTTTTATAATATGGAAACCTTTTGAATCACATAATATATTTGTTGATCCCCAGTTATATGCAAAACCTTTGTTAAACAGTTTTGGAGATGCACAGATGAAGAAGACAGACCAATGAGACATACATGAAACATAGCGTGTTCATATTGTTACAGCTTCCTCCAAGGTTAAGATTAAGCATGTTGGTAGTTTTTATTTTTTTTTAAGATTTTATTTATTTATTTGAGAGTGAGAGAGTGAGAGAGAGCATGAGAGCTGAGAAAATCAGAGGGAGAAGCAGACTCCCTATGGAGTTGGGAGCCCAGTGCAGGACTCGATCCTGGGACTCTGAGATCAAGACCTGAGCCAAAGGCAGTTGCTTAACCAACTTAGCCACCCAGGCGCCCAAGTATGATGGTAGTTTTTTTAAAAAGGGCAAAGGGAGTAGCTCACTTATCTGGAGAAATATCAACTACCCTCAACCTTTTGAAACACAATTTCAAAAGGAAAATGATTGAGAAAAACATTTGCCACTAAACACTTTTACTTAACCAGGAATTCCACAAACTCTACCTTACAAGGCTATAAAAACATTTAGATATTTATCAAGTACTGTGTGGGAAATATGGTAAGAAATTGAAAGTAAGAATAAACCCTGAAATACAACACCAAGATGGGACAAGCTGACAAATGAAAATGCATGAAGGACAAATATCCCTTCACTCTTTTAATTTAACTGATGCTCCTAATCATGAATTAGTTATAAAAAAAAAAAAGTGAAACTGTATCTAGTATTTCTTATTTAAAAGAGTGTATCAGTGTTTAATACATGTTGGAGCAAAAGTCCTCCTTTATTTTTTCCGGTTTGGTAGGATTGAATTCTTTAGTGATCAAGAAAACTCACCATGTAGAGTCCCTTATAAGGATAATGCAGTATGACCTAAGTTTTGTATATAAAATTCATTTATTTCCTTTTCAAAATATGTGGAAGAGACTTTGTGAATAACAAATAGCTACTTTTTATAAGGTTCTCATATTAAGATCTTTTTGCATTTTTCCTTTATCATAAAATCTATCTGCAGATTTTATTCTTCCCATTTTCAGAGGAAGAAATTAAGACACAGTTTAAGAAACTTGTTCAAGTTCCTTCAACTAGTAAGGACAGAATTTATTGATCATGTAAGTAATTAGCCAGTTTCATAATCCTAGCTTTAACTATTTGATCAGTCTTCAATATGATTAAACATTTTTTATCACAAAAATTGAAATCAACTTAAATTTGCTTAAGCAAATTACGGTCATGATTATAAAGAAGCAAGAGTACCTCTTAGAACCCAAGGACGAGTTGTGAAGTTGAAACCACGTGGCCAAGTGTCTCTGCTTCCTTTTGTGCACCTGGGTCATTGTTTTTACTTTGCTGACCAGCTTTCTCTGTAGCTCCTTATGTCTGCTGGAGATAAATACATCTCTTGCTTGTTCATTATCATCAACTGTATTCACACAGAAAGCCTGAGGAGCTGTCTTTTAATCCTAGTTCTCAAGAAAGAAAAATCTGATTAGCCCAGCATGGGTTAGGAGATTAAACAATGTGCCCTAGTCCACAGCCGTGGAAGCAGGATTGCCAATAGTATTTGGTCTACCATCCCTGTGCAATGATGGCGTTCCCGTGATGTCCTGGAAGTAGTTCTCAAAGACAGGAAGTGGATCAGACAGTGTGACCCTTCACTTCAGATAGTAATGCATGGTGGTTAAAATCATTCTGGAGCCAACTTTCTAGATTTATTTCTTAGTTCTGCCATGACTGGTTGAGTAAAATGTTACTTAACTCTTTTTTGCTTACTTATTTTCTTTCTCTAATGTGGTGATAATAATGTTATTATTAAACTATTTAATATTAATAATATTAAACATATTATTAAACTATTTAGAACAGTTTCTGACAAACATTTAATGCATCTTGACTACTATTTTATCCTTATGGTCAATTGGCAAGATACATTTTACTTATCAAATAACTTAATCTAGTTTTAGGTTTAGTAATATTCCATTACTCCTGTGACCTTCATTGCTTCAAAAATGATACTTATAAAATGAAATGATCTTGCTCTTATTTTTCTAAGAGTTAAATTATCTCTAAGCCTGTCCAAAATTTTAACAAAAGGGGAAAAAAAATGAATAGGCTAGTAGGCTAGTTAGTTGTTGTAGTAAGAAAGATAGATTTCCTAATAAACTTGAAAAATACTCAAATTCTTCCTGTTGAGTAAAATGTTTCTATAGAAAAAAACTGTAATAAAGCACATTTGCATAATTATTGAAAATTGTGAACACTGTTAAATGACACAGATGAGATGATTTAATTTTATGTTGATTAATTATACATTTATTTTCAGGTACATGACAGATGGAGGGCTCAACCTGTATACTAGAAGTCTGAATAGAATACCAGACACAACTACTTCCAGAGAGGTCATCCAGAGAGGAGTCCATGACGTGACAGTGGATGCGGACAGGTAATGCTATCAGCATTTACGATGGTGAGAACAGCATAAAGCAATTTCATAATGAGATCCTAGGGTTTGACAGTATAAGTTAAAAAGACTTTTTATTTCAATATAATAATTATTTTGAAATATTTTTGAAACTAAGCTGGTTTTTCTTACAAGACTTGTTTAGTTCTATATACTGCATTGGTGAGAATATTTAGCAACTTTCAGTTACGTGGCAGCAAATTTTAATAGCTGTAAAAGCAAAACAATACACATAGACTTATGTTCCTTCATTGAAAAGAACCCTGGCTGATAAGTTTGCTTAGGTTTGGATATTCTCAGATTTACCTGGAGGCTAATGATATAAAGATTAAAACAATTCAAATTATCAGGTACAATAAACTTGATGCTTTTCTTGAGGAGTTTGTTGAAAGCATAAAACTCTTGCCTTAGACTAATTTCTGTTTTGTAATTGTTTCAGAATGTTTAAAGCTCTGTGTGTGTGTGTGTGTGTGTGTGTATGCACGCACGCATGCGTGTGCTAGTTATTTTGCTCAAAGGTGTTTTGTCAATTTGATCAGAATCACTGCTGTTAGAAAATATTGTTCTTGTAAAACAGTATTGTAAGACATACTTCTGACCTGATTTTGCCCTCTCTTCACTCAGAATTTTGACTTTATTCATCAGGAAGGTATTGCCATTTCTAAAACTATGACATATCAGTACCTAGAGTGGTTCTTTACTAAAGTCAGCACTGAGGAAGAGGACAAAAGGTTGTGATTTAATGTATCCACATTCTGAAGTAGAAACTGTGCACAATTCATTGCACATTTTAACATAGCTAACTCAGAAGGCTTGAATTCTGATATCAGTTATCAGTTTCTCCTCACTCAAATTATGTTGATATATTTTGGTGGGGATTTGGGACTTAACTCTTTTTTTTTTTTAAGGTTTTATTTATTTATTTGTCAGAAAGACATAGAGCACAAGCAGGCAGAGTGGCAGGCAGAGGCAGAGAGAGAAGCAGTCTCCCCATTGAGCAAGGAGCCAGATTCAGGACTCGATCCCAGGACCCTGGGATCATGTCCTGAACCGAAGCCAGCAGCTTAATCAACTGAGCCACCCAGGTGTCGCGGGGCTTAACTCTTTAAATAGATATTCAATTAGTGCCTCTGTTTTTATCTCTATCTTCACACCCATTTTCAGAAATACCACCACTTTTTAAATATTTGGGGTCTTCTCCAGGATAAGTAGGCTGTTTTGTAGCTTTCCTTATCCTGTGTTCAGGTATGTGTGAGAGAAGCAGGTGGTTACACAAGGATTATGAAAAATTTTGCTTCCCCACCACCAACCTGATCTCTTCAGCCATTTTCTCTTCCTGATGCCTTCAACCAGCCTGGTCTTCTTTCTGCTCTTGAATTGATGCTTCCTCCATTTGGAATGCCCTTTTCTACATTAGCTGCATTATTTCCTCTATCACAACATTGTTGAATGTTGTTTTCTCAGAGAAATGATTCCAGAGAGGCTAAGATACATTTGATTTGCATACAATTTCTTACTCATTACTTTGTATTGTTTTCTTCAACGTGCCCCATCACTCCTGGAATATTTCATACTTACTTATTTTTTACATGTTTATATCTCCCCAGTTACGATGTAAGCCCATGAATGCAGAAGTTTTGTCATATTCATTATATTAAGAGCCTTTAGCAAATGCTTATGGAGTTAAAGAACAAAGGAATGACTAAAAGCTATACACTCATATATGGCTAGCAATAGAGTTCAACTGGGTAGAGAGGCAAATGAGGCCAGAGCCAACATTCTGTGAGGATGTTACCGAGAGAGGGAAGGGGTTATGTGGAAAAACAGGAAGCAGTAATTCAAGGGGAAGCAATCTACAATTTGGACTACATTTTGAAACTAAGGACCTGTACATTCTTAGTTGACAATGGAAGATATTAAAGAAGAAGGACAGTCTATTGGTCTTTAGGAAATAAGATCGTGGTGGCAGAACTTAGGAATTGATACAAAGGATCATTATTTTATAAAGAGATAGTTGGGATAACCAGCTCTCCTTGCTCTTACGAGGTTCCAGCTTGGGGCCTGGTGGAGGAACCTCAGACCAGCTGGAAAGCCCAGATGTGTGTAGAACAAATTGAGACCTGTGAAAGCAGTGGTTCTTAAAGTGTGGTAACTAAGTCAGCAGCATCAGCATTGCTTGGGAACTTGATAGAAATACAGATTAGCTCTATCCAAGATTTACTGAAGGGGAAACTCTGGGGTGGGCCTAGTGATCTTCAACAGGCCCTCCAGGTGATTCATCCTTACGGATACTGAAATTACCAAATCACCATCTTAAAATAAACAACTAGATGCCAGTTTGATGAAACCATGAACACTTAGCATAAACATTTTAAAATTTTAAAAAAGGGACATTTTGACGTTTTTATTCACTTTTTTTTAGCTGTGCTCCATCAGGGGAAAGAGAATATCAAAATAACACTGACACTAATCTTTAAATTAGATCAATTAATGACACATTGCCCCTTAAATAAATTGTCTCCATTTGTTAGAGTCAGCTTCTAAGAATTGCATTTTTGAAAGAATTGTAGAATTTAAGGAATCCAAAAACCACTTTAATCACTTGTATGTATTAAACATCAATAAGACCATAGGGAAAATCCTGCTATCAGCAGAGATAGGAGTTCGTCTTTTATTATAAATAAATCTGAAGATCTTTTAAAATCCTATATTCAGGAAGTGATTCAGGATGTAGATGGTTTAAAAATGTATAGTATTAAATATTATAGTTGTGTAAGTCCTTCTGTTAATTTCAAAACCTCCTTGTACAGGATGTTGTTTCATAAAGCTTTCTTAATTCTGATATCCATTCCAAAGAGGATAGGCAAGAATAGTTCTAAGGTACTACCTCTTTGCTTAGTTTTACTCAGAAAAGATACCGAGAAGTCCTGTACTTCAAAATAAAAACTATTAAATTGATTTAATTCAGTGCTCCCTAAAACATTTTTTATCACTGATTTCCCCACTTTCTTCTCTATAATAATTTGTTCTTGTGATATTTTAAGAAATCCTGATTTTGCCTAATACCTTCATTTAATAGTTATAATAATGCAAAGACTTGGGTCTTTTACCTCCTGTACTTAATAGTTTCCCAGCTACCTTAGTCAGGGGTCTTTTAAATAAAATGAAAAATGTTAGTGCTTGGTTCATTTTAGTAAATTAGTAAATGTAGGTCTTGTAATAGTTCACTGGTTAAAGAAAAAAAACACCTTAAGAGCAAAGAAAAAAGTGTTTTATTAATTTTCCATATTTCATAGACATTTTTTCTATAAGCGTGATCACTGAAAATGCATTACATAAGAGCAAAGTAGTCAGCTGGCTAGGATAGCAATGGATTTGAATTGCTTGTGTTAATTTAGTGAAGGTTATAATGTTCCCCCTTTAATCAAAGTTTGATTAAAATGGGATGGGCAATAGAGAACAGCTGAAATCTTCTTCCCAGCAGATTGAAACAGCCCCAAGGAAAAGAGGATGCTTCAATGGACAACTGTGGTATATCTTAAGTATTTTATTGCTCAAAGATATTACAGTTCTTTCATTTTCCATATCAATCCAATACCATCCCCATTTCCTTATTATGCTGACCAAAAGAAGATTACAGAATGGGACTAATCCTTGTAGACATGTTGGAGACGCTTTGGGAAATTCATAAATAAATTCATAACAGACAGTTAAAATGTGTGGGCTTTATCCATTTGGCCCTGGTTATAATGAAGTCAATTCTAATTCATATACACTTAAACAATTGGGTTACACTATATCGAAATAGTAATTTGGGGCGAAAGTTTGGAAATAGTTGTTGTTTTGGTTTTTATTAACTCCTATTACTGTCCTGACACTAGCTTCCCTGCTAGCATTAACAAATATTAACAAATATTTGATAAATATTTGATAAATTTGATAAATAAACATATAATTACCTCCTAAGTGCATTGACAGCATAATAATAGCACCTTGGGTAAAAACAAAACAGAAAAATAAATATGAAAGACCTTGAGTTTAATGGTCATACAGAATAATGTAAGCAAAAAATAAAGTGATAAATAAAATTGATTAAGTCATAATAGATGTATACACACAGTATCTTAGAAGCACCCCAAAGGGAAGTGATTATTCCTACCTGGCAGGATAAGGAAAGACTTCAAAAAGCAGTATGTTTTAAATAGGGTCATAAAGAAAGCATAACTTTTTGACATATGGCCTGGTAGAAATTCGAAGAAATGTGGAATTGGAGAGCATGGAAGCATTGAAGAATTTAGTTTAAGGGGATGTTATAGAAAACCAAAAGCGGCAGTTATTAAGGCAATGAAAACAGATCTCATAAGGAATTGTTGCGGTTGGGGGAAGGAGATCTTAGTATATGATTGGGCTCAATTCTGAATACAACAAGAACACGTGGAGATTCATAGCCAACAAGCAGAATGAGGGGGTCAGTGAATGGAAAATTACTAAGAGAAGACATCAATCGTAGGGGGATTCTTGCTAAGCCCACTTAAGATTCTTGCTGAAAAGAGGCCAGGGTGATCAGGTAATTCCAGTGGGGGTTGAGTACTATAACCAGATATCATAGGCACTCGAATATCAAGGTGGAGGAATCTCTCTAAAATGCCCTAGGAGGCAGTATTCTTGCTAAAACTGGGCTAGGCAGGCCCAACAATGGGTCAAAGTCAAGACCTAGCCAAGAAGAGACCTCAGAGGAGCCTGAGTAAAGTTTGGTCAAAAAGAGAGTCCTTGTCAGACCCATTAATAATGGGATTTTGCTAGTGCACTGAGAATGTGGGCAAGGATGACAACAAAGGACCTGGAGGGCTGTTCTAGAGGATTTGGACCTATAAGTGATAAGGGGCTATTTTACTAATTTTAATTAGTTTTCTTTTTAAATTTCAAAGCAAGAGCATGTGTTGAACTGATTGTATTTTAATAATAACTCACCCACAGCAAAT